GCAATGCTGCTCACTCTGAAATATGCTATATAGTTTGATGTATTAATGAAAGGAAGAAGACACGAATGCTTTACAAATCACAGAAATTTTGTGTGAAAATGGCACATTTGGCACATTCTGATTACTTGTATAGAGAATTAGTTCTCAATATATTCCTTTTTTTCTTATATCCCTAGCAGTTTTGCATCTGCACTTCAGGTTTTCTACTGTATGCAGATAGAGTCTTCTGTTCAAATCTCCTCTAAACTGTGTTTTTACCAGAAGTAATGTGTAACTCTATAATTTTTTAAAGGTAAGATTATTATTCTTAGAATAACATCTTTTGATAAAGGTAGTGTCGTAATGCAGTCATGGTATGTTGACTCTAAGAGATGGGTGTGCATCATGACTGACTGTCACTTATTAGCACTGTAACCTTGGGCAAGTCACTTAACTTTTTGTTCTTCTGTTTCCTCTGTATTAGAACATAACAATAGTACCTTCATCATTGGTTGTCATGAGGATTGATTTTTTATATATATATATAGTGAGCTGTTGTTGATACTATTCAATGTTACTACTGAAAACTTCCTACTATTGAAGTATATTGGAGTTATCAATACATTAAGTCCTATTATGTGCTTGGTATTTTGCCAGGGGGATACACAGTATGTGAAACAGTTCTTGTCTTCCTCTGGAGGCTTATTTGAGAGTAATGCCAGATATATTTGGATGTACAATGTAGTACAATGCCTGCAGGATCTGCTATAGGATACTTAACATAGGTTGACTTTGTAACAATATAAAACCTAAACAGACAGAGCAGGAAGCTGACAAAAATGAATCTGTCTTGTTCCAGGTAAATGAATGTTATATAAACAATTGTAGTCAGAATGCAGTGTTGGGCTGATCATGTTCCTATACGGTATCTGGAGGAGGTAAGAAATTAGCTGTACCTTTAAGTTTGTATCTGGAAATATGGAGCTGGAGAAGGGTCTCGTGGGGGATGCAGAAGTAGGGGATGGGGATGAATACCTCCTAATGTAGTGGAAAGGGTACAGCCAACAGACCAGGGGTAAAGCTTTGGTACTTACAGCCTCTTACTAGTTTTGTGACTTTAGGTAAATTACATAATCTGTCAGAGTCTCAGTTTCTCTACTGTAAAGTGGGGATAATGATATTTACTTCTATAGGTTGTTGTGGGTCTTAGAGCTAACGTATGTAATGCAGCTGGCATAGTTCTTGGCATGTACAGTTTTCAGAAAGTGATATTATTGGAAATAGAGTATACAATTAAAAACCTGGGATTTAAATCTCTTTAAATCTCTCTACCATTTACTAACATGATAACCAAAGCTGAGTTATTCTAAGCTTCACGTAGCTCATTTGAAAATGGAAATAAATTAATAACCTCATAGTGAAGTACTGAGAGCATAAGTAATAAACATGACACATAGTGTGTACTCAATGGGCATTAACCATTATGTTACTTTTATTAATATAGCATTTCTCTTTCTCCTAGATAATTCCTCTATGATTATTCATATTCTTTCATCCTTCCCCCATCTTCCACTTCATTTACCCTTTTTCAACAGCATTTATCAGTGGTGATTGTAGAGACTGAAAACAGAGACTTGAAGGAATTTGGAGGTAGAAAGTAACTGGTCAGCACCAGTCAGCACCACATGTACAGCAGAGCACCAAGGACAAGATAAGAAAAGGGCAGCTAAGCAGGCATAAATACAAATGACAGGTGCATAGACATATATACAATCTTCTGGATAACTCAGTCTTCTTAAGACTATAAAGGGAAATCCAGATACATCATTCTCTTCAATATTTTGCTATTTTCCTGAGTATAAAATCCAAACTCCTTCAAATTGATTTTTAATTCTTTCCAATTTGTTTTCAATCCATTCTACCACCCTCACTTCCCCTCATTACTCCCTAGCATGAATTCTATATTCCAGTCATTTTAAAGTTCTTCCCCTTTTTTGACTGTAGTCTTTTTCTTTATCTTCCTGCCTTTTGCACATCCTGGAACATCCATTCCTGTTACTTCTACTAGACAAACTTCTCATCCTTCAAGACCCAGTTCTCCTGAAATGTCTCTGATCCCTCCAAAATGAGTTTTTTCTACTTCCTTTGGGTTCCCATGATACTTTGCATAGTATCATGACTCTCTAGCCCATAGTTGCTTAACATATCACCTTGCTGTGATTTACATTCCACACACATTTTTTGCTAGATTATTCACTAATTAGATGATACACTTACTATATGTCTCTGTGTATTTAGCAGGCTGTGCAGTACTTGACCCAAAGCAGGTAGCCAGTAAATACTTCTAGGCTAAATAAAAGAAGTAGTAGGCACATGAGTGGCAACTCCTCTGGTTCACGAGCCATTTTGTACGATTTATTCTGTAAGGATTGCTTTAGAATCATACTCATAGAATTTCAGTAGTAGAAACATACCACATATTACAAATGAAAAATTGAGGCTTGAGAGAGGGGACTCTCTTCCTTTACTCTTCAGCCTTTCCTCTTCAAAACACAGTAGCAAACTACTAGAAAGGAAACTTATTTTAAAAATCCTTCTAGTTTCCTTCCCTTTATGACCTGATTTCCAGATCA